TTCAATCACATCAATCTTTACAACTCTGTTTCGACGTCATTCTACTCAAATCCTCAAATTCAAAAATCTCGGAAAAGATTCATGTCAGGTGCATGATCGTTGGCCTCTCAAATCAAGCTATTAGTTCATGCAAAAGCATTGGACATATCACCCATTCCCATATTGTAGACGAAACTGTTCACAGACCGTATCGACATTCACCATCTTCCAACATTCATCCCCCCCCCCAAAAGTAGAAAGGATACTTGATTGAATTTCTCAAGCCCTCATATTTGGATTCGGCCCGAAGGTATCTTCATATACTCACTCATACACACCGTCAAATCTCCATCCTCTTCGGCCATTATCAGATTCAAATTTGATAGATTCCTAGACAGTGACTTTGAAGATATATTTATATTATCAATCAATACACACGCATTCTTCCACCTTCGACCTTCCTTCGAGTCTTCTAGCGCTTCTAGAAACTCGGAAGTGATAATTGAGGCGCTGTTGCACGTCTTGGGTTATCCATGAACCTGGTTCCCCCTCCATCTCTCCTCATAACGTCAGAATAACCTCAAAAGCAGCCCCTCCATAAAATTACACGAAACCAACCAGCTAGCCACCGGTCAAAATCACGGCCAAGGTCAAATTCCCAAGGAAACTTTCAACGTTTGTCACAGGTCGGGACATATTTTCAATCTGATACCCTAGTGATATTGTGCCTTACAAGGTAGATCTCACAGGGGACTTGCTTGTATCAGAAGTCAAGGATAGTCCTAGGAGCCAGTGACGAGGTCTTTACCTTAGAAAGAAACTCAATCGACACCTTATTTCCGCAATATTTCTATTCTCTCGAGTAGTCGAAACCATCATTGATCATTCTAGCACGTACTCGGTCTTTCAGGGTGAACTTCATCTTATTATCGACCAAGTGCTAGAGTCAGTCACGTCAACTTTCTCATCTCTTCCTATATCTCCCTCCAACACCCTCCTTGATACCCAACAAAAAGTTTCCGACAACAATACAAGGCTTGCTCGGGTTGGAAGCAAAAATAAATCTCAAATTTTCTTTCCCAAACTGCCGTATTCCAAAGCGCCAGGTAACTAAACCCTCTCGGTCTATTGACTTGATGCACAGTGTTGACTGGGATATAGAGCCATCATATTTTAGTATCGAGGAATAAGAATATATAAAACGCGTCGAAATCGCGGCGAGAGGAAGCTATTCAACCAACCATCAGGACCGAATCATCAAGCTGGCCAGCTCGCGCTCAACGCCATATTATTTGTGGGTGGCGCATCGATTGGATTAGTCGGCGGGAAGTAGTTTGTATAGTATCGAGTAGGAGACGATAATGGACGACAATAACCGTCGACGAAGGCCAAATGAGCCGCCATATCCCCCTCAGGATCCCAGATATACACCAGATCAGAGTCAAGCCCGTGGAATTCCAAATTCCATACCGGATAGGTATCGTCCTGGAGGGACAGGGTCGCCATCAATGAGCCGTGGAGTTGGACAAGCCCCAGCATATTCGTATGGTGGCTACGAGCCAACCTCGAATTTTTCGACAGGAATTCCTCCAAATCCCATGCAATACCCCTCCAATTATCCTTCGGATCAAAGACAACAGCAAGGCTTCTCAGATTACAATACTGGGTTGATGTACCCCAATAACGTCACACAACAAACTCCACAAAACAATATTTATGATGGTTCGCAATTTCAGGGACGGCAACCTGCATCAATGCAAATGATACCCGATGTAGCTGCCCCTTTCATCCAAAATGACCCAACAAGTACTCCGGCAACTCAAAATTATGCTTCCTCGAACTCGTCTACCCCTTATCAACAACATCAGCAAAGCCCAGGAGACCGCACCACGTTGATCCAACAATCATATTCCGGATCCGTAGGACTAGGCGCAATGGCTCAAGCACCAGGAACGGCCGATGGTATGGACGCCGGAAACCTGCAGCCCCAAAATCCACATGTGATGGAAGAAGCTTACTCGACTTACCAGACTGCTCTCAAGCAGATCTTCAAAAATATTATTGATCTCCGTCTTGCAGAAGCAGGCTCTTCTTTACTTGAAGTTTCTGAGTGGCTACTAGGACACGTAACAGAGTTGGGTGAGTTACTATTTCCTCTGTTCAACCTCATCCACTAATAGTTTCTGATGAAGGCCTCACTGTAGACGAAGCTGCGCTTCATGCCGATCGCATTCAACTATGGAACGAATTCAACGCGGCATGGTTAAGCATTTTCACTAGGCAACATGACTTTCTTGAATCCGGTCAGCGAAAACAGGAACAGCAAACGCTCATGTCCTTGGATTTTATTAACAAAATGGGAACCAACTTGACGCGACTGTGCGATTCGGTCGAGAAATATGGTTTGGTGGATTATCAATATGGAGTGGGAGAGTCGCAGATTATTGATAGTAAGTTGAAAAAAAACGTCAGAGATCGTAACAAGCGTTGATTTATCTAACATCAATACCTTAGTTCTTTTGAGCTGCCAAAAACTCCAAGAAGAACTCGAAGCATCCGGAGCCTCTAGCGGAGGCGCATCCTCATCGATCGCAAACTCCAACGTCGGTCGTGCGCCACCATGATAACATCTTATCTTGTTTTACCATATTTCACTTCTGTTCTCTTCTACTTGGAAAAGTTTTGTTTTCATATACCACTGTAGAGCATAAACTTGCATCCGTTTTTCCTTGGGCGTTTTCTTCTTTTACAAATTCTTCACCCTGTTTCATCGACATCAAGATTTGACTTTCTTCTTTTCCTACTAATCAGGATCACTTTTATGTGGACCGTATAAATGGGTGGGAACCTTGATTTGACAAATTGGTGTTGGTGGTTCTCTGCATGCATGAGGTGGAGGGATTGGTCACTGGCGGACTATTTGCGGGTGGGCGGCATTCTGATTTTTCGATGAAGCTACGTTTCAATGTTTCTACGCGCAATGCTTCTTTTATTACGATGTTTGTATGATGAAAAGGAAAGGAAGGTGGGAATTCAGGTTCTGGTTCGCAAATTTTGGTTGGGAATACTTGGGAGGCTTATATGAATGATATGGATGTGTTTTAGCGTGTCTGTTTTATTTCATATTGTATTATTGTACGATGTGGTTTACTAGAGCTGCCGTTCAATGGGAGGGCTTCTAGGCTCGAATAGTTGCTTGGGAGTATGATTGATTGTATTTAAGGGGGGCTACTAGGCTCACAATTAAGGGACAGCATGGAATCGCGATTCCAGATGGACTTCTAGGTCCGGAACTGAAGGAACGAATTATAGGTTGGGTGTATGAAATTTTTTAGGGCGATCGTATGAATGGATTATATATCTATTAGGGTATTGAGGAAAGTAAGCCATATCTTCTAGGGTATGAAGGCAAGGATTTGCAATGAATCAGCATGCGTGTGGATACGCGGAAGAGACGAGTGCCTGCCGGGGGAAAAGGGAGTGGGTTCTTTGAAGCGAGGAGGTGGGGGTGGGGAGCAGGTCGCCAATGAATTGCGGAAAGATAGTGTATATTTGTATTGTAAATGAATAATATCTTCCACAAAAAACCAGTCTGTAAACGGATGCAATCTTTTTAATATTATCTCGTGATGATGATTTGTCTTGCAGGTTTCAAATTATCTCATAGCTTGAAAAGCATCAGGTCGGGCATAAGAACTTGTGAATTTACATTGAAATGTGTGTGGAAGATGAAGAGAAAGCCGGATCTAGATTTGTATCCAGATCTGCCAAAGAAGTCTCAAAATATGACATGACATGGATTCATGGATTGATGTGTAGCGGTGGCTGAGCTGCATTAGACGTGCATAATGCGGGATGCATGCGGGAGGATGTGGATGTAGGTGTATTGTAGGACTCGGATAGACGGAGACGCGGGTATGCGGTTTGAGGTATGGATGATTGATGGTGAGGCTGTGGTAAACATGGTTGATTTTTGTGGTGTGGTGTGATGTATGTATGTATGTATGTATATACATGTATGTGATAGATTTGTTTGAAGATTTTGGGTTTTAGGATTTTGGGTGGAAAATCTGGGGATATGGATGTAGGTGAAGGTTTGGGGGTATGGTTTGGAGGGATTCAAAGGGCTCAGAGATTGAGGATGATAAGGCGGCATTGACTTTGAGGATACTGTGGGTGGGTGTTAATTGAGTTGAGCCGAGTTGAGTTGAGCTGGATGGAATTGGATTGGGTTGAGTTGGGCTGCAGTGAGGTGAGATTGAACGAACGAATTCAAGATGATGGATTATTATTGTTTTTGATTAGGATATCGATATCAATATCGATGATCGAGCATGCCATCGAAATTGCATTACACTTGATTCTGGGATTAAGACGGGAAAGAAAGCCGACATGGACTGGGTAGATAATCTTGGGTTGTATTGTGGCTGATGGTGGGAGTGAGATGCAGTGAGGTGAGGTGAGGCTGGATGAGGCTGGATGAGGCTGGATAGAGATCGACGGCATGGATGATGATGGTGAAGGGAGTGGAGGAAGGAAGCGAGAAAAGGGGTAGGGCTGGGATTGCTTATTGGAGGGGTGGCGATGTGACGTTGTTTTATACGCATGGACTGTGATATATTGTCAGCTTTGCTTTGTTTATTGGTGTCTAATGCCCATGCGATGATCGATTGCTAGCAATAGTTGGCTGCAGTAGGGATTTGATGGATGAGATAGGGTTATCAGTTTTTTGAAAGGGGAGCAGAGACTGTGTAGATGGATGGGGTATGAGATTAAAGAGGTGCAGATTGAAGTCATTAGTGTGTAGTCAATAGTCAGCGTGGGGTTAACTGGGGTATATGTAGGGTGATAAACATAGATTTGTTTCGAATAGGAAGGTGGGTTTTGATTGGAGGAAAGATTCTTGAGCTATTGGGTGCATGCATGAGTTTTGAAAAAAATGAGAATGTATGTAACGTGGGTTTTGAGATTGTTGTATTGGTATGAATAGATATGAAGGGATGTTCGCTTTCGTATAATGGTCCTGGTAGTATGGCTGCACTTGCTATTTTGTGGACTGCACACTATGTGAAAGGTTGATATTGTATTGGACTGGTTTATGATTTGGTATGCATACCCATCAAGCTGACTTGCTCAAAATCGGGGCTACTGAAGTGCCTGATGATGTTGGTGTTTGAAGTATGTATCTTCGAATATAACTAGGTATTTATTCAATTCTCATGTTTCTTACATAATGAGTCTCAAGCCCATAATAAAGCCATCGGAAACCCAAACACCATATGTATTGATACAATGAAATACATATACAACTATCTCTTGACCCAGGCAGGCATCTTTCTGGCCTTGACATGACCTGGCTTCTTTCTCTCCACTTTTCTTGGATCACGAGTTACACATCCGGCTGGAGATATGTTAGTATCCTATCCTTAAGTACTGCCTCCTTTCGATAAATAGGGAGAGGTTAATGTAAAAAACTTCGAAGAACTTACCTCTTCGTAACGCAGGCTTCAAAGCCGGTTCGTGTGAAAGTAAAGCCTTCCCCACTGCCAACGTCAAAGCTTCTGCTTGCCCTGTAGTTCCACCTCCACTAACCAGGGCCCAAAGATTGTACTTATCAATCCGATCCGTAGCCTTCAAAGCCCAGATAGCACTTTCTCTGTCATGATGTCTACCAAAGGCCTCCGCGAGTGTTTTCCCATTAATAAGTACTTCCCCCGTACCCTCTACCAAGTAAGCTCTCGCCGTAGACGATTTCCTCCTTCCGACTCCTAGTGCTCGTCCATATTGATCGATGGGTATAGGCTTTGCGACATTCTCATGCGGGTTTACATCTCGTTTGTACCTGTCCATAGCCTCCTTCACATCTGGGGGCATCACTGATGGATGGATGTGATTTAGTCGATGTAGTGTCTCCACAATCTTATGATATTTTGATGACCGTACTCCCTCTCCAGTCTGATCTCTATATTCCATAAGAGACCTCCATGCCACACGCGGCGCCTCTCCTGGTTGCACAACAGGAAGTTTCGAGTATTTGAGTAGGAGGTTTTGCAATTGTAGAAGATTGTCGGTATATGATGGCTGGGCCGTGAAATATGATGGCGAGTATGGAACTAGACGCGCGAAGAATTTCGGTGACTCTTGCGAACCGTTTTCCCCTCTTCCTCCCTCATCTGGAAAGTTTATTTCTGGGGCCGCAATGCTGTCTCGAAGTTGTGAAGTGGTTGTGAAGGATTTCGAGGGCGAGGAAAGAGGAATTCGATTTCGGAGTAGTGATCTTGGGATGGTTGATTGGGTGGAAGAGGCACATCTAAGACCTTCCCTTAGGCTTGCAGGAAGCCATGATGTCTTCATATTGAAGAGGGAACTAAGTCGTGGACTTCTAGGAGCGTTTACCCGTTAAATCGACCTTCGTAAACTTTAGATTTCGATATCTCGATTTTCCCGCATCAGCTGATTTTGGTTCTAGGCCTGATTCAGACTAGCTTTATTGTACCCCTCTGCCCACCACAAATTTTCGAGGAGATGCATCTCACGAAAACTTTCTTTCTCCCATCCAAATCAATAAACTTTGAATCAACGCAAAGATGGCTTTCGGAACTCTTTACACCTACCCAGTATGTATATACATTTATTTAGCAGTCTCTGCTACATTATCTGCGAACGTATAGTTTTATGTAACTTCTGCTAACCCTATGTTTTTATAGGGCAACCCCCGCTCAACTGCCATTCGTGCAGTTGCAAAGGCCAACAACATCGAGCTCGACATCGTCGAGACCGAGCCAGCTAAGGGAGTCTCTGAGGATTACCTCAAGATCAACAAGCTCGGCAAAGTACCAACTTTCGTTGGTGCTGACGGCTTCACCCTCCACGAGGCCATTGCCATCGCTATCTATGGTATATTTACATCCCATTTCACCCCACTTTGTTTCGCACAAATTTGCAACAACTCTACCTTCCACATATTTTCCTGTGTAATGATGAAAAAAATGTCATACAGTTATCCCTGTCTTAATCATACTATGTTGATCTTTATTAATTAGACTCTGAACACTATCTTTAAAAGATTATCTTGCATTTGCGTTGTTTTATGAGTCACCAGCTTACAAGATTTACAGTCACCTCCCAAAACGAGAAGACCACCCTCCTCGGTAAGACCAAGCAAGACTATGCTTCTATCTTGAAGTGGATGTCTTTCTTCAACTCTGAGGTCCTCACATCCCTCGGTGGTTGGTTCCGTCCTCTCATCGGCCGTGACCCATACAACAAGAAGAACGTCGATGATGCTATCAAGGCCACTGCCAAGTGCGTCTCCGTCATTGAGGAGCACCTCTTGAACAACACCTACCTCGCCGGTGAGCGCATTACTCTTGCTGATTTGTTCGCCGCTGGTATTATCTCCCGTGGTTTCCAATTCTTCTTCGACAAGAAGTGGAGAGCTGAGAACCCAAACACTGCCCGTTGGTATGCCACCGTCTACAACCAGCCAATCTACTCCGCTGTTGTTGACCCTCTCTCTTTGATCGACGAGCCAACCCTCAAGAACCAAGCACCAAAGAAGGCTGAGGCACCAAAGGCCGAGAAGCCAAAGAAGGAGGCTGCTAAGCCAAAGGCTAAGGAAGTCGAGGAGGAGGAAGAGGAGGCCCCAGCTGCACCAAAGCCAAAGCACCCTCTCGAGGCTTTGCCAAAGTCCACCATTCCTCTCGATGAGTGGAAGCGTCAATACTCCAACCAAGAGACCCCTGATGCCCTCAAGTGGTTCTGGGAGAACTACAACGCTGAGGAATACTCCTTGTGGGCTGTTGACTACAAGTACAATGAGGAGCTTACTCAAGTCTTCATGACCTCCAACTTGATCGGTGGTTTCTTCGCCCGTCTTGAGGCTTCCCGTAAGTACATCTTCGGATGTGCTTCCGTCTACGGTTCCGCCAACGACAGCATCATCAAGGGTGCTTTCGTCATCCGTGGTCAAGAGGCTCTCCCAGCTTTCGATGTCGCCCCTGACTATGAGAGCTACGAGTTCACCAAGCTTGATGCTAGCAAGCCAGAGGACAGAGAGTTCGTCAACGAGCAATGGACTTGGGAGAAGCCACTTGTCGTTAACGGCAAGGAGTACCCATGGGCTGACGGAAAGGTCTTCAAGTAAATCATTACTTCAAGATGTTCCAATTTTCAAAATGATTTTAGCGTCGAACAGGGTTAACGTGTAATGAACAATCATGACGTGTGGGAGGATAAATGAAAACGAATCAAATGGAGATCGTTATTGGTATTACTAGCTTAAAGTTTATGCAACAATGCAATCTAAGTTCACTACCATGCCACTATACATTGAATACCATCGTAAACGCCATTTAATGCTGTGATGCCTTATGTTATCCTGATGACCCACCACCTATACATAAGCCCCAGAAGTATGTTTGAAAAGGGTATCATTAAGAAAGGAAAGTACCAAGTGATCTTGATGTCATGAAGTTTCTACCACTCAGTGTTAATGATCACACTGTCATACTTAACTTGAGATAATCAACTTACCAGCAGTAGAAAGCGGTTAATGGACAAAATTACCACTTCTCCGAATTCCCAAGCATCGGCTGATACTTCGAGGGTACAGTCTCACTTGAGTATGAGGGCTGATACACCGGTTCAACTGGAGACGGGACTCTAGCAGGTCCTAAAGCTTTAGGTGGATGGATGGGTAAATTCAAACCTGTAGCCTCACGAGGATCGGCTTTGGGTTGTGGCACAAATGGCGAATGACGAATCGCAGCACTGACATTCTCATGCATGCTAAGGAAGTTCAAGAAATCATGAACCTGTGGCAATACATCTCCGACTTCCTTATCATCGCCAAAGAACTCTGGAATCTCGATCAGATTGAAAGGTTCGCTGCGAGCTTTCTCGCTGGAATCATCAATCAACACTGTATTTGTCTGATCCCACCTGCCACCATTTTGAGCATCGGGGTGCGTAGCTGCAATCTGGGGATCGTTCCAGAGTTTAGTGAGACGTTTATAACACTGTACGCGAGTATTGTAGTCCATGGAACTGAGACCGAATGTTTCGCGACCCCAGATGGCAACAATCTTTTGTCGGAGCTTGGGGGTGAGAATAGTTTTGCACATGGGGATCACATTTTGCGATTTAGCCGATGACCAGATTACAACGGAAAAGGTATCGATGCAGTACTGTAGGAACTTCTCGGCGTGTGGGCGGGCGGTAAATTTAGTAGGAGATTTGCGGTTGGGGCGATAGAGAAGTGTGCCGTTCAGATCGATAACGACGAGGAGATGGCGGGCGAGAAGAGAAGGGATTGGTGTCTGGCCTGGCTTGGTATAGGACTTTTCTAGGTATTCGCTGGTAGGATTTGGGACACCACCTGAGGCTTTTGAAGGTTGTACTCTCGCGTCTTTGGACATGGGAGCCATTTTGTCCTTCGATGATGACTTCTTTTGCCAAAGATTTTTAATATATGAGGGGTAGAAGAATGCCTGAGTTTGTAGTGGATCTGGTTTGCGTGCAAAGTATGGTGATCGTAATAGCGGATACAATGGCTTTGGTATATTTGTCGCGATGTTCTCGGAACCACTGTGATCCAGTAATGGAGTCTTCTTATCGCTAGATTTAGGAACTCTATTGCTCTTGTATTTGTCCCCAGACTTGAATGGTGCTCCGGGATGTTTTCGATTCCTTTCGCCGAACCTTATTTTTGATGGTGTTTGCTCCAAGTCGTTTCGTTCCCATTGATTTAATACATTGTTAGTTGAAGAAAATCTCCTCGCAGTGATATATCTCAACTCTACTGCATCGAGTATTGACACAAAATGACGTGCTAGGGACATCAGCTGGAAAGTTCACCTTCTCATCGTAGATACGAGGCTGAAGATAAAATCGAAAAATCGATAACAGGAAGAATCGAAACTGATCGGAATTTTGTTATTCCGTGCCTCACCGCCTTGAGATTGTTAGAGATTGGCCAAAAATTCCCCATATCGATCATTCTCTAAGAAATTAAAATCTGAGTAACTACGAAATTTGACGATGTTATCAACGAAGAGAAAAGCACTAGACACTGGTCTACAGAGGCGCGTGAGAGCAAGAAGAGAGGCTTCTGAAGAAATTGAAGAATCTTCTTCAGATTCTGCACCATCACAAACTGGTAAAAATGACGATGAGGAAGAAGGAAGTTCTGGCGACGAGGAAGTAGATGATGACGATAATGAGGTTGGATTCATCAAAGCCAAGTCTGAATCTTCAACTAATATTCAATAGGAATCACCTAAACCCGAAGAGGAAGCATCTAACCTTATGGCCACAATCCCTTTCGGCGTATTGGCTAAAGCACAGGCTACCGGGCCCAAATCCAGTAAGAGGGACTCGAAAATTCTAAAGAAGAGTAATGGGGATGGATGGGAAGACAATGAGGCTACCGAACGTAAAGCTGGAAAAAAGGACCAACGAGACTTTACCCGCAGCAGCAAAAATGCACCTACCGAAATCTCCAGCAAGAAAGCCGTATCGCGTCGTAGAGAAGTCGTACCTGTCAAGAAACGAGAGATCCGAGATCCACGATTTGAGCCAACGAATGGCCCGGTTGATATGCAAAAGATTGAAAAGAATTACGATTTCTTAGTTGATTATCGGGAGGATGAAATGAAGAAATTAAAGGAGACGATCAGGAAAATCAAGGATGAAGATGAGAAGGAGAAGTTGAAGAGGGAATTGTTGCGTATGGAGAGTAGAAAGAAGACGGATGCTAGGAAGAGGAAGGCTCGAGAGGTATTGGATAAACATAGGAAGGAGGAGAAGCAATTGGTGAAGGAGGGAAAGACACCATATTATTTGAAGAAGGCAGAACAAAAGAAGAGGGTTCTATTAGATACCTTCGGAGAGTTGAAGGGGAGACAATTGGATCGGGTTATCGAGAGGAGGAGAAAGAAGGTGGAAGGGAAGGAAAAGAAGAATATGCCGAGAGCGAGAAGAACGGTCGAGTAGGCAGGTTGGGGTCAAGATTAATTTGCCAGTGGATGATTACAAGAAGAATAATAAGATATACCCTTATTGTCAAATTATATTTCGTATGAGGACTTTCGGTAAGCGTATGTTTGCACCCAAAGACTACCTCGGGATGCGAAAAATCGGTTCCGTGCCGGAATGCATGAGTGTTGAAGGCAGTAGGTACGACTGATGGTTAACAGTGCTCAATTTGCCGAATTCTATTTAAGCAATTGCATGCATGAGATTAGTCTCATCCATTCACATACCCACAGTTGAGGTTTAAGAATGAGAATTATATTTCAACTCTAGGGTTTTCGCCATCAGCACTTTTTATGTTTGCTTTTCCTTTATATGTCAACAATCTCTTTCTTCAACTCACCTATGAAGATCTTCATACTAGAGAGTCAATTGCATAGCACTTCGGTCATCTGCCACTTTTATATTATTACTTGTTTTCGTCTATTAAGTTATATTCGTCCCCTTCAACTATCACATGGGAAGTATCTTTCTTCCCTGTCCACCTCATATCACTTGGATACATATTCACTATCATCGCAAGATCTATCATATACGACCATAGACTGAAGAGAATTGGGCATCCCGTCCGCTCTGCCATACACAAGCTTCAGATCGGTGGATTAGTAGTTGGGTGGGTGACCACCAGCGAATCCCCACCGTTGTATGTTTTTGTTTTTTACTTTTGTGCCTTTTCCTCATTCGCCTTTCTCGCATTCGTAGCGACTGTAATTAGTGTATGTCTTTTGTGGTTAAGAGATCTGGTCAAACTTTGACTCAAGTTCTCTCTTGTGGAATGGCCGGGTCAGCACTTCTTTGAGTCATGTAGAGTGGTTTCACGGCTCCTCGCTGTACCTGCCAAGACTTGGTAGGAGATTGGCATATAAGCTTTTTGACCGACGCGGATCTGGATGGATTGATGAGTCGAACAGATTAGAGTGTCAGAATCTTGATTGGGCGGTAGTCTGAACGATCACATGAGAACTTCTGGAAAGGGGTGTGGATGGCAAAAGGGGGCTAAAAGGAGAGAATGAAAGCGGAGAACCAAGGAAGCGAGTCTCCCGTATCTCGCATTTTAGAGAACGAGAACGAGACAATTGTTGTTTGAGTCTCGATCGAATATATGAACATGACATTTACTCATATCATTAAAGGTTAAAAGGGGTTTATTTAATTAGGTGTGGAGAAATAGGGCGTTGGTTTCCTTAGGCATATTGGTACAGACACATCATCTCACCAACACTCGCTTGCGTCTCCTTTTCATAAAAATTGATACATCCCATGATTCACTCTTGTCGATAACTTCCTAACACAAAGACGAAGATGAGCAGTTCCTCACCCTCAGTTCTCAAAATACATTCTCGATTGATCAATTACCTGTTCCACCTATCTCGCCAACTTTCTGTAAAGCTCCATTAGTCACATGAAAAGCGAGCGTTGGAAACATCTTGAATCAATTATTCCTGTTTCATCTTCGACTTTTTCTCTCTTCAATATATCAAACTTCCTAGTTCGGTCAATCCACTGTACGCCGTGTTATCCCATCTCATCTTATCACACCCCATCATCTCGCCTCTCCTTTTTGCATTCCATTAGCGAACCACCTAATCACCACCTCTATATTTCTGATTGCATCCTTCGCAAAGCTTAAAATCCACGCGATTACTTTTATTTTTACTTAGTCCAGATAGACGGTGATCAGAATAAAACAAAATTTACAGCTAGCACGGGTGCAACTTTCGAAATGTTTCTTGGGTATATCGTCATATCTAGCCCGAATACACGTATATTCTCAACGCCACCCTTTTAGAATTGTATTGATCGCTTTTTTGGTATGCTTTTTTCGTACCTAGATACCTAATGCGTGGAATAAGTATGTATGTCCAGCACCTGTGCATAAGGTGCAGACTCGGTTAATTCTATGACGGCATTCGAAGAAATCCTTTACTGCGTTTTTATCCACAGGATCATTGAATTTCTAGTTTGTGTTTCCTCCACCCTGGGTATAGTGTAGGAGGTACTAGGTAGAGTAAGAAAAGCGGCAATTATCTGAAGTTAGACTCGTACAATTTCAAATTCCATGCTGCAAATTTGCTGAGATGCTTGTTTGTATTGTAATTGAGGTTTTGGGAAATATCGTCTCATGGTAGGTAGATGGATTGAAATACTCACTCTTGCTTTGTAGGGGGATTAGCGTCATTATATGGGTACTTTCATGCTATGTATGTACATATATGATATATCAAAGCTTTTGCATGGTTAATCTTGGAATGGGAAATACTTGTATCATATATTGAATTGAAGAACCAATTTTATATGGGGAGAACATATCCAGATGTGGAAGAAATCCAATCAATGATCCAAATCAGAATAAACCCAAGAACCTCAAAAGAGGCTGCACATAGAAAAAGCCAATCAAATAAATAGGGGATACTCGATAAACATCACTAGCTATGACACCCACAGGCCATGATATCTACTGGCTAATACCCAAATCATCTAGATTCTGCTCACGCTCGGGATATCCTTTGTATTAAAACCTCAAAACTGGAGAGACAGATGATGTATCATCGGTTTGACTTACATACTTACTCACAATAGCTCTCGCTCCAGATCGAATGTTGAATCTGGAGCGAAAACGGAAAAGGAAATAAGAAAGAAACTACCAATTCGAAGCGAACTTGAAACCCCGATTCTTTGCTTCCTGAATCTCAATGAGAAGCTTGAAAGGATAGGTGAGAGACAGGTAAGTCTAGAAACACAACCTGCATTTCACATGAATGACAATTTACAGGACGCATTTGTTGGTTTGAGAAGGATACGGAAGACTTAGCACCCACGTATTCATAGGTCCCAAATGTCTATATTGTATTCTGTCTAAAGAGCTAGCTACAGAGAAAGTAGTAGGCTTTATATAGGCACTATTGAAAGAGCTAGTCTCTTTCACATTCACCTAAAGCTTGATATAGTGGCCATTGAATTGAAGTCATTCACCTACGTTCATACAGCATTAAAATATTTGAGTAGTGGCAGAACTTGAATTACAATATCGTATAGTATCGTATCGTATTGGAGATGGGATCAATTTTATGATTTTGGCTTTTAGTTGTTGGTTCTCTCTTCTCTTCTCTGGAGGCTTGATCTTGTAAGGTATGTGGTGTGTAAACAGAAACTATAGATGGACATCATATCATATTTATAGAATTTGGGTTATTTTACTCTTATATCGTCATTCTTATATGTGTGTACGAATTACGGACGACGAAGACAGTGATCGAGCTGTGGGCGAGGAAGAGGTTGAATTGTCTTTTGTTTGGATGGGAAAGCAAGTAGTTGAGTGAGTGGTTGTGGAAGGTGGGAGAGTAACATGGTGATGATGATGTTTTTGGGTAAGGCTTGTATTTAGATCTTGTATTTAGATCTTGTATTTAGATCTTGTATTTAGATCTTGTGCTCACAGATATGCGAGGATAAGTATGAGAATGATTGAATTTAAGAGAACAATCAAACCCAAGAGAATAACCACAGAAGATTATTCCCAGGATAATTCAAAACCGAGCCAGAAAGCCAAGAGATTCATCTCAATACCCACGTGAGAGTTTTTCCATACTCCTTCTAAGTTACAACAGAGCTATACGGACAGAGAAATAGATATGCGAGAGATATCTGAAGTTTTGACTTTCTACCTGTGGGGTATTACATCGAGAAAACTAAAGGTATGGATACCGTACATCATAAGTGTTGAAGTAACTTTTGTATATTCATGTCTTTGCTATCCCGAATCATGGCGATGCTGATCTTGTGAGGGGGTACAATGAGAGTTATGCGATGTGGGTACCTAGGTATGTAGAACCTTTCCAAGCTGGTAATGAACGAATGATATGGAATTGTGATGACAACAGAGATTAGATAATTTTGGGTTTGGAAATCGCGGACGATGGTTGGAGATTGGATATCGCGGCTCAATCTAGTTGTAGGTAAGGCGTAATACTAGATACATACCTACCTATGTAATATATTCACTATCGAATACTTCAATCGAATGAAAAGACTATTTACAGACCCCGATAGACCAAATCTTCAACCAAGAGGAGGTTTATATATCTAATATTCTTCGATTTTCCACCTCGAGGTTCTGAAGGTGGTTTAAGATATATGATTTGGGTAGCATGGAAACTTACTATGTTGCTAGACGAGAATTCTAGAGAGGATGAGGTTTTAGGAGTATGAGAGATCAAATTGATGGCGTGCTGAGCGGCCGAGAATCTCATATAGTAATATCTCCTTTGAAGTATCATAACTGCTATAATGAAAACGACAGTGAGGAGGAGGAGATTCTTTCTTCTCTTTCTGCTATTCGTCAAAGAGGTCTCCAAATTCTTTTGATGGAGAGGGAGAATGGCATAGCTAGAAGGAACTTCACTCCCGCTATACCACTCTTACATCATCTTGATAAGTCGACGGCTTGCTGTTCGTGGCCTAGATCTTTGGGACACATATATCGACCAATAAATCAATTCCGCGATTCTTTTTCGTTCCCCTCAGTTGTCATGTTAGTATTAACATACAAATACATTCCTACGATTCCCGCATTCCCTATTCCATCCATCACCATTACCCTCACCCTTGTCCCTCACCCTTGTCCCTCAAAAAAAAAAAATTGAAAATACAAAAAAATAAAAAATATATAAAAAATCCCTTTCGCGAACAACAACCCCCAAAGGAGCACCGGAGCCAAACACAACCACCAAACCCATGAACCTTCCAACTTCCAACCGCAACCTAAATCCCCGATGCGGCACGGACGGATTTACGAATACACCATTCCTTCCTTCCTCCCTTCCATGATCCATCAATGACTAGGTATTCCCCACTCCAAAAAATAAATCCCGAAGCAAAGGATTCACACTTACGAATTAAATCCGACCGACACGTGGAAACCCCTCCATCATCCGATTCCGATCCGAACATTCTTACGGATTTTCGGATTTTATTTTGGACTTCCTCAGAAGAGTGGAGAAGGGAGGGGCATGGATGCATGGAAAGAAAGAGCACAAACGTCGAAGGAAAAATTGGAGATTTGGATGCATGCATGCAACTTGCGACTTGCAGGGAGATGTGGAAAGAAAGTGTGAGATCGGGTGTTGTAGGAATGGTTGTGATGTGATGTGCTATAAGATATGATACTATGCAATGAGAAATGAATTGAAATGCGATAAGTCTGTAATGATACGGACCGAGAAGAGTACTCCGTAGTCTGTCTTGAGAGATGAAGGGATGGATGTGTTTATTTAGAAATAAAAATAAAAACAAAAAAGGAAATAGATGAGGGATTTGTAAATTCTTTCTACATTTTAAATCCCTCTTTCCTTCCCATCCCCTCCCATCCCTCGACTTCAAGGACCAGGACCAGGATTCCAAAAAGAAGGGTCTACGAAGTAGTTACCAGTAAATACCGGACCCGTTGAAAGTTTGTCTCTCTCTCTCTCTCTCTCTCTCTCTCTCTCTCTCTCTCTCTCTGCTTGAAGATGGATAGAAGATGTGAAATTTATCTGTGCTGGATGGACAGTGGACACCCTGCTTTTATATGAAGAACGAGAGGGTTGAGGAGGCTGTGCTATTGATTACCCAAAGCTTGGAGAAGGGGAATCATACCGTACCGTGTGACCGGATCATGAGGATTAACCTTTCAGGAGATCCCAAGGCTGTGCGAGTGGATCGATATTAGATAATACGAAGGAGGGAGATTACCGGGATAAATTATGGCTTACTTGTGTTGATGAAGTACCGAATCGGTTTGCTTGGGTTTGGGTCGATGGATAGACTGTGTGCTCGCGTTGCTGAGGTGTATGTATACCGGTATGTATATGGATACCGGTATAGATCCATCTTGCGCCAAGAAGGAACAAGAAGTAGATATGATATTTCTATTGAGAGCATGGATAAGAATAGGAGAAACTTATAATATTGCACTTTTTGAACTCACACAAGGTTCGCATATGGGTTATTCGCAGAAAGATATACGTTTGCATTTGATGTACCTACCTAGGTATCGTCGAACACAGCATCATCCCCTAGACCAAACATGTGACTTACATATGCATGTCCAATGTCCATAACCAGAGAGAACTACGAAGTAACAACAACTAGAGGAAATAAGTCCCTCCATCAAATTCCACAACCCAATCACACATCCCGCAATCCAATTGGAAAAGCTCTAATAAAACAAAACAAAACAACCTCCATATATTTCCTCTCCATCAAAACCAAAACCCATTCCAATTCCAAGTCCTCCTCGGTCCGAACAAAATTCCGTAGACCCGGTCGATCTCTCGTACTCGCAGCAGCGCCGTCACAAGGAAAAAACTTTCGCCAATAAAAGACAAGAAATGTGAAAAACCATGAAGAAATATTTACAAGCCGATCAATCAATAAAAGATGTGTCAAAATACGGATAGGATGCTCCCTGAAACCTTAAACAATTATCATTATCGTTCATCCGATCATATACCTCACATTCCTTTCATTTCTGTGTACTTGGGATAGAGAAATGTAGATACGGTTATACGAACCGACATATCATAACGGTATCCGAGAATCAAATCCATAAATATGGGCAGTGAATTATTGATACCAGCGGTACGTAGGTATCCGAGCGTTATTCTTATTATTAACCTTGCTTCTCCTATCCATACCTGCAATACTTTCTTTCATATGTGAATACTCGTATAGCACCCTCTGTTACGAGAGCGAGAAGCGAACCGTAATTGGATGTGATACGAAAAGATGGACAGATTTATGAGCATCTCAGAAGGGATTAGTTCAGGTACATAACTTCTCACTGGTATAATTCCTATGTCTGACGTATGATGGATGGAATGATAAGGCTGAGAGAGGCTTGTGCGAGATGAAACGGAGACGGAGACGGAGAGAGAAAGATGCTAGCGAGACGTAAGATAGCGAGGCTGAGTGAGTTGGGTTTGCTCAATGAGGTAACTGGGTGCGCTGTGGCTTCGCTTGAGGGTTGGGATGGATCAGAGGCAGTTGAAATGAACGGAGATGGATGAAACAGGTATGATAGATCCATCCCATGAGGTAGACCACGAGGGCTCAAGGGGTGAAGGGGGAGGGGTATTTACTGCTGGGTCCGGTAGCGAGGTACGTACTGGAGCAGGTTGTTGGGGATAAGGCTAAACAATGAGATGCTTCTCAAAGACGTGTTCATGTAAGACAACTATGAATCATGCTTTACCCCCCATACAAATCGACTTTTGAACGCGGAAAGGATCCATACAGTAGAGTATGTAGCAGCTTCACGATTCCCAAATTCATCCATAACAAAGAAAGACGTTTGTTCACCAATCCCACAAAAGATTCCACATTCATTATTCATCATTCCTGAACCCCTCGTGTTCCAACCAATCACCTCATCTCATTTATCTCTGTCGAGTCACCCCAAATCTCCGCTGATAAATGCGGCCGTATAAATCATCTTTTCTGACATAATAATCGACGCAGGTACGCCAATCGCAATGCGAGGGATGGAATTAAGGTTAACGGAGCTTTGGTAAAGGCCGTGTCGGGGACAGGAATTAAAGCAATGCGCCCGTTTGGCATTGGGAGAAGACTCATAAATCATAATGAGAGTGATAGCTGGGATGATAGGTCCCCGGTGTGGTGATGAAGGCTTAGCTTAATAATCGAACCAAGGGTTCGAAATGCTGGGGAATGGGAATAGGTATGGGTATGGGAATTAAAATGAGTATGATTGCCTAATTGAGGTATGCATGAAGTTTGCAGAACCCGAGTCACATCACCGGTGTGAGTCCTTGTGCATCGTACGTACATGGCACCAGAGTCCAGCGAGGGAAGAGAATAGAGAGTAATAGTAAGAAGTGAAGGAAAATCGGCCGAATTGTCGGATGTGGTGGATATACAATCTCCGTAATAGGTTTGATACTGGAAGATTTCTACATTTCTATGACTGTTCGGCGGTCAATGGAAGAGATTGGAATGATGTTCATGCGTATAGTGTACGAACGAGTATTAGACTCTTTTTTTGCGCTCGGAGAATAAAAGTTGAAGTTTTATGGAGCTGACCGGCGATAGTGAAAAGTCGAAGATATCGTGATGAAATTTCAAGGGAACAAAGTAATCAACTACCAAATGCTAACTTATCTAGCGCGCGAAGAAAAGGAAGAAAGAAAAAAAAGAGAAGAAAAGAAAAAAAAAAAAACTTTATCAATGTGGAGCTTCTGTTAGGCTGGTGATTAACATCAAGGTTTCGGACGGATGTTGTTGATACTAGGTGGGATTTCCATATGCACCGCATTATCCGCCCATGTGACTTACATGAGAGCATACCTAAGTATCTATCAATTGATCAAACGAACTTCTACCAGGGAGTACGGAGTAATTTGATACGGCGGTTGCAACGTGCGGGGAGCCATCATCTCATCTATATCATCTACATTATGCAAACCAAACCCCGAGATACCTAGGGAGTCACGGATCGTAGGAGATAGTCGAATATGCAGGACATATTGAGGGCATTTCAGAAGTCGGAAAATAATTGATTCTGATTCTGATTTTGATGTTGATGTTGATGTTGATGTTGATGTTGATGTTGATGTTGATGTTGATGTTGATGTTGATGTTGATTTTTGTCTCCGATACGGTAAGAAACATCATGGATCAATTCATGGCCCTAGCTAGTCGTTTCGTATAATTATATTGTATGCATACCGTTTTTCTGTACCTATATGGATTGAGTCGAATGGATATGTTTTCAGTCGATGACTACGCATTCACGTATGCACGAAGTTGTGTGGGCAGGGAAACTCGGTGTCTGTCGGTGAACCACGGTCCAACTCCCTACTCGAGTACCATTCCCAAGAGAGGATCTGACAATGCGAGTACACATGGATGGGCCAAGGGGAAGAGCGCATCCAAGATATCCAAGCCTTGTGAAGTGGTGAGGTGCAGCTGTGGTGCAGAAAGGCGGAGATCTGGGAGCTGGGATGGGATTCGTGAATTTGTGGGCTGCCTGATGAACGATGGATGGATGGATGGATGGATGGATGGATGGTTAGGGATACGTGTGTGTGTTTTATTATTATTTTCCTCATGACTATTCTTTTTTAATCTTTTTTTTTTAATCAATTTTTTTCCATTATTTTCTTTCATTGCTGCCATATATGCATGCACCTATGTAGATGTAGATATAGATGTAGATGTAGATGTAGATGTAGATGTAGATGTAGATGTAGATTATTACCTTTTCTTCCTGCGATGATTTACAGAGAGCGTACTTTCCATATGGACTTGCGTAGGTAAGGAGGTTGGAGGCAGGTCAGCGTATGATATTGATGAGTAAGATAGACCAGGCTGCCAGCTAATAAATGATGGAGGCTCGGATTCGCATTCGTGGCAGTCTCGTGAGTCGGGG